AGTTCACAGTCTGTATCTTTACATTATTTTGTGTTGCATATTAAAGTTCAAAAGTGTTGCATATATATATATATGTATATATATATACTTTTAATTACTAAAAATAATTTTAGTCTGAACATGAATCCGATTGCTTTATCGTTTGTCAAACCTCGTAAATCGCAATCAAGTGAGACGGAGGAAGTACTTGTTTAGATCTCACTCTAAATACAACTAAAATTTAGATAAAGTGCACAAATATTGAAATATCACTACACGTTGTTTTCAAAATAAGAATTATTTGATCCTAAAATTAAAAGTATAAAACTTTTGTTATAAGAAGTGCTTGAATAATTTTTTGTAAAAAGAAAACAACGATGATTCTAACGCGCGTGTAGTTTGACGCACTCAAGAATGGTTTAATACTTTAATCCATCAAGTAGAGCACATAGAAATAATAACAATAACTCTTTCCTTGATATCAGTGGGTGTAGCTCAACTGGTAGCAAGAGAGTGCCACAAGGGTTAGGTCCCGGATTTGAATCCCGACAACTGCGATGAGGGGTTACTATGCTAAAAATGCATAAGGCCTCTGCAAGTATCGGGGACAGAGCCCCACTCTCTATCTGTCAGATTGAGATTATAGTCCAATTTACATACTCCCAACGTACCGTCTGATAGGGGTTGGAGGACCCTCACGAATGAAGTGTCATCTTTTTTTAATAACTCTTCCTTGATGAAAAAGAATGATGAAGCCGGCCTTCGTGGGGACTTTCATTTTTTTCCATAATGCAAAAGCGTTACGGCGTCCTACTCTGATCTATATCTCGCCACCTTCTTAGAGTTCTTTTCTCCAAATTCTAAAAGCTAATGAAGAAAACAGAAAAGCAAAATATAAAAGAAAGTCAATGGGTGCATAATTATATACTGTGTACAACGAAACAAAAAAGGAAACGTTAATATATATCAAGCTAACTTATATAGTCGTGAATATGTACACTTAGTTTTTCGTCCATTTTCTTGCTCTACTTGGTTTTCTTCCCCAAGTACATTTCCATTATTGTTCTCTCAATATGCACGGGTCACTAGCCGTGCCGATAGTTCTACTTCTCCTATCAGGTTCCGTCTTTGGGGAAGATCCGTACAAATACTATACATGGAACGTGACTTATGAGGACATTTCCCCTCTTGGAGTTCTTCAAAAGGTATTTTTCTTGGTAGTGTTAATAATAGATTGATCATTGATCGACCTCACATGTTTTTTTATTTTAATTTTTGTTTCGTTTCTCGAAAAATACGGCAGGGGATATTGATAAATGGTGCATTCCCGGGGCCAACAATTGATTGTGACACTAATGACAACTTGATAGTCAAGGTTTTCAACTATTTGGATGAACCTTTTCTCCTCACTTGGTGAGTTTTAATCTACTTACTAATGAACCGTACATGAAGAACCCAGAATGGAAACTCTTGAGATAAAATATTTTATATACGGAAAGTCGGAAACGCTTTAGAAACTCTTGAAACACTTATTTTTGTATTAAAAAGGTGAGATTTTCCAAAACAGTGCATAAGTAGGTTTTGGATTTCCAAAATAGGACTGATATGTTTCTTATTCTTCTCAAAATAGGAATGTTGAGGTTTATTCCTTCAACCCGTAGGCCCAACACGAGTCCCAAGGGTTTCGAACGAAAAAACGAGTAAGTTAGATGTAGAACAAGCAAGGAAAGGCCCAAATAAGAGTTTCAATACACTGATTCGATTACAACGCCGAAAGGCCGTTCGTACAGTGCTGGGCTATGAGCTGATGTAATTGCTAGAATGCTAGAGTGCTAAATTGCGAACCCTTTACAGTGAAATAAATGCTACTATTTATACTGCCAATGAGTGGTTGGATGTGTTGACGTGGCTGGCTGTGGACGACATGATCCCAACCACCAAATCTTCTGCATTAAATGCGTTTCCCGCCAGGATCTTGGTTTCCCGCCACGGGATGGGGACACCCCCATTTGTAACACCCCCATTAAATTTGTAACACCCCCATTTTCCCCAACCAAAAATACATTTAAATAATGATTTATTCAAAGGAATTATCAACTTTATTTGAAAACATCAGAGATACAACAGAAGTCTTAATAGGGAAATGGGTGTTACCGCCACACTCGGTTCTCACATAATCGAATGCACAGGCTAAACCACCATCCAAAAATAATCCAAGTATTTAAGTACTGAAAATTTCAAAAAATAATTTAAATGTCCACATGTTCTCAAACTGAAATAAACAATAACTAGGTGATTATAAATACTAAACTACGTGATCTAACGCAGCTCTCATCATCATGCATAACCTTCATCACTTGCACAATTAAAGTGCAGAAAACAAAACAAAGAAAAGGAAACAAAAATTAGCTTTTTAGCTAAGTAAGGCCCACCCAACCCCGTAAAATAATCACGTTTGGCGAAAATAGTTTTATACATAACTATAACTTTAAAAATTCATTTTCTTCCCACAAAACTAATTTGGTGTTTAAAATAATATTTATAAACTCTTAGTAACTCACACATTCATATACAAGTATCACTTTTCAAAATATAATTTATAGCTAATCACTCTTTTTAAATATACTCAATTGCTCTTTGAAAATAACCTCCATAGTCTTCCTCTTTCCAAAACCAAAATCTCCTACTTTCTTTTAAGATGGGCGGTACTTTCGGATACTTATGCCCGAAGCCCAATGAGTCGTTGTTATTTACGAACTCATCCCGGAATCCAGTTCCCATCACTATCTCTTGAATCGAAACGGCCACTAAACTTGTTCTCTTCAAGTAGTAGTAGCCCTAACCATCCTCTACATTTATCCGGATGTGAAAAACCGACACCACGGATTTCTCCCGGGGTGCCCACCTCTTATGAAAATGTTAATTTTCATCTTGAATCAAGATACACTTCAAAATAATTTCCAAACTCTCTAAAAAGTCTAAAAGGTGTTTAAAAGTATTTAATACACCAAAAGTACATAGTTTGTATTTCTCAAATACTATGGATTAAATATCTCTTTAAATAACACATATACATAATTCAAAAACTCAATAAATAATCACATAGCACATAATAATCACATAGCACAGAATATTTCTCAAGTCTCCAAATATTCTCAATGATGTTTAAAAATATTTAATACCCCAATATCTCAACTTTCTCAAATACTATAAATTTAATGTCACTTCAAATAATACATATTCAAAATTCACACTTTAATCAAATAATAGCATATAATACGAGGAAACCATTTTGGATCGGCAGAGAAACTTACAATTTAGGGTTTATCCAAAACTAGTTCCAAAATAGTATTTAATACCATATTCAAAATAATCCAATAAGGATATTTATAACTCCAGAATATATATGTAAATTTTCATACCAAATTATACATTTAAAAATATATAATTTATCCCAAAAGATTTGATCTCACAACACTTTCCAAAAAGAGGGTTTAACCCAAATAACCACTTCCCAAAAGTAGCATTTACTACTACCACCAAAATAATCAAATTTGAGTATTCTGAACCCATAATATATTTTCAATATAACCAGTTATAATAGTCTCAAATCATTCTTCAACTCATACCAAAACAATCACCAAAATTTTCCAATCCCAAAAGAACAATCATCAAAAATCACAATTTTAGCCATGATAAACTGATTAGATAAATTCACCAAAAATCACACGTTCATAAATTCTCAGAAAAGCATACATCATAATACTCATACTATTATAGCCGAATTATCCATAAAATTTCAGAAAGAAACTCAAATCACAGCACAAACCCTACTTTATACAATATAGGGGCAAAATAGTAATTTTGGTTGCAATAGTCCTTACCTCGAGGCTAGCAACGAATCCTAAACGTCAAACCTAGTTTGATGGATCATTCGCACGTACCTAGGAAGTGATAGGTTCGAAGGATCTCAATTTAGGAGAAAGAAATTTAGGAAACGGATGAACGACGTGAATTAGGCAACAAACGCACTTACCGGAATATTGGGTTGTTTGATCTCATCATTGGCATAAAATTTCGTGCTGGATACGTTAATATTGAAGAGCCGGAAGGGATAGATCTTGAAGAGGCGGTCCTAGGATTTTTGGATTGAGGAAAATCGGATTAGGGATGTATTTATAGTGAATTTCCGAAGTTTGAGTTGCATTAGGATACAACAGGAACGCACGCGTGCGTACCTTCCACGCACGCCGTGCGTGACCCCCAGACGCCCCAAACCTTAGTTTTTTCCCCGTTTGTTCCTCATTTGGACCTCCCCTTTGTTCCAAACACTAAACCAAACATAATAAACGACCTAAAGACCGTGTAAACAATATGAAACACAATTTTAATTATTTCTCAAATTCTCTCAAATTTTCGGGGTATTACACCTAGCCCCTGCCTCTTGCTGAAGTTCTGATCCCTTGCCAAGGGGCGGGGACGTTCGTCCCCATATTCTTGAGCTATTCTTGAGCTATTCTTGGCCTCCTGTCACGGGGTGGGGACGTTCATCCCCATATACTCTGCGGGAGTCTTGGGCTTGGGTACCTGCCGATAATGGAGTACGTACGTCCCCTGACCCTTGGTGCTGAAGTTTGTCTCTCTTTATGGGCCTTCTGGGGACGTTCGTAGGAGGCCTTTATGGGTTGATGGGCCGTTCGTATTAGGCCCTTATGGGTTGATGAGTCAGCCCTTGTTGGACCATTAACCCAACAAGGAGTAACATGATAGTATTTACTGTCACCCATTAGTCATGATTACTGCCAAATAGTTAGGTTGCAGTACAAGGTAATCATATGGCAATATTTATCATCATTAATAGCAGTATTTTTTAATCATGACAATACTTTTCAATCATTGTAGTAGCGATTCTTATTTCGCAAAAAAAAGAACATACCAATCATATTCTGGAATTCCAAAATCTATTTTCTCCTATTGTAGTTTCTTGTCCTAAAAATGGGGAGTGATAGTTGGGACTTGAGCATGCAGGAATGGTTTGCAACAAAGAAAGAACTCGTGGCAGGATGGGGTAGGTGGCACAAACTGCCCTATCCCTACCGGAAAGAATTTCACTTATATCATGCAAGCTAAGGATCAGATCGGAAGCTTCTTCTATTTTCCATCCCTTGAAATGCAAAGGGCCGCCGGAGGATATGGGCCCATCAATATATATAGCCGTCCCAGGATTCCGGTCCCCTTCCCCACACCGGCCGCCGATTACAGCTTACTCGTCGGCGATTGGTTCACTTCAAGCCACACTGTAAGTTTATGTCATAAGTCATTTTATTTTTTGAAGAAATTTTATGAATTCAAGACCCGAAAGATAGATGAATTATCAATACGGGACCTGAAAGATGAAATGTATCGATATAGAACTCGAATGATGGAAAACTATCAATTTAAGACTTGAATGATTGGAAATTATCAATTTAGGACCTAAGTTGTCCAAAATTTTATTAATTTTTTTATCTTAAAATGTTTAAATATTATTTAGCTTTATGAAACTCATAAACTCTTGTGAAGAAAAGTCTATCAAAAAATAGCAATGCGATTAATAAAAAATTAAATAAATCAAAATCTATGAAATTTTAAGTTCTAGATTGATATTTTTTCATCATTCAGATCCTATATCGATAGATCTCATCTTTCAGATCCCGAATTAATAATTCATCGATCTTTCGGATCTTGAATTGATAAAATTCCTTTTTTGGATATCAGATCAACTTCAATTCCTTCATTTTTGAACCCAAATTTTTTACTCGCAATTTTGAGTGATGCCGCCAGATAAATACGGAGTATCTAAAAGTAATTGTAGCACTTGTTTCATTATTTGTATCATTTTAGGATTAAGATACGGAAATACATTAATATCACTAGTTAGTTAAAGTACCTATTCAAATACTACGTAAATAACTAATTATACTACGTAATTAGTACTCTCTTCATCCCCGTATTATTAGGATGGAAGAGATTGATATGATTTTTAAGAAAAGAAGAATTATATGGTTGATAATGAATTGATAAAGTGAGAATAAAGAAAAAATGTATCAGAGTCATATTAATATTACGTACTAAATACTCCCTCCGTCCCTTATAATTTTGCCAATTTTCTGTTTTTGGATGTCTCACTACTTTTGTCACTTTTCCCTTTAAATAAAGAATTTGTGGTTCCAGTTCATTCTCCCTCTTCTGCACAAACCTCAATCACACAATTTTGACTTTATTATTTCCCGTTCCGGTCAAACTTGGCAAAGTTATTAAGGACAAAGGAAGTATGATATATGACAATAATGGAGGGACATCCAAAAATAAAAATGGAACAATTGTACGAGGACAAAAGGTGTATCATTTATGGCCCTTTGGCCATTTTTCGAGATATCTACTATGTTATTTGTGATCGATTTTTGTTGAAAAATCCGCTTGGTAGACCATAAATGGGGAAGAATCTAATCATTAACCAGAAATGGAGATGTAAAAGTTGTGCAAAAAATGGATACGGAATATATTTACTTTAATTTTTGCAACAGTTTTACTTTCACGTTTACCAACGCACAACTTTGACTGTAATTATATTTAATTATGTATTAGTAAACATTATAAAAATTTGATATTTTGGAAATTAACATTGATAGGAATTTAATAACATTTCATACGTAATAATTTGATTATGTATATTAATAGAAAATCGTGGTCAAAGTAATGTCTATGAATAGTGCAAAAATCACAATGTTGCAAGAATTAAAGAACGGAGGAAGCTTGCAATAAGGTAAGAGTCTTCGTCAAACCAAAAATCATACTCCGTGTAGTTTGGCGTCTGAAGTTTGCTATAATTTGTAAAGTGGTGTTGAAGTAAATTAAAAAAATACCTCAAATTTGAACACTAAAGATTTTTTACTTTGCTGGTCTGATCTGTTTAAGTCTAGTCTGATCTGAATTGGTCGGGTCTAATCCGGTAAATGTCTGGTCTCTATGTATTTTATAACTACGGAAGTTTAATCTAGTTTGTTTTGATCTGTTTAAGTTTGTTCTGATCTGAGACCGAAAATAGTCTAAGTAAAAACATCCTAATCCATAATCCATTTTGCCAAGTTTAAGTTATGGTTAAGCAAATCCATGTTAATTTGCAGGATCTAAAAGCAAGGTTGGACAAAGCCACAAATCTTGGGGATATTCCGTCCCCAGATGGACTTTTAATCAACGGCGTTGGACTAAACAATTTAACCATCGCAGTTGAGGCGGGGAAGACATACAGATTTAGGATATGTAACGTTGGATTGACGACTTCCGTCAATTTCATGATCCAGAATCACCCACTACTGTTGGTTGAAGCTGAGGGAACCCATACGATTCAGAATTACTACAATTCCTTGGATATCCATCTAGGCCAGTCATACTCTGTATTAGTCCAAACTAATCAAACTGCAGGGGACTACCTTATCGTCGTCTCTACCCTATTCACGACCAAAACCCTCAATTCAACAGCCATCCTTCATTACCCTCACCAGAATCAACCCGTCCAGGGCCCGCCCAATGCTCTAAGTAGTAACATCACTTCGTCTCTCAATCAAGCCCGATCCATCAAGTAATTAACCCGCCTCACATCTAAAACTTACATTTGCATAATTGCATGACTCCCACGTGACTCTGTTCATTTCTTTCTCATTTGCAAACATCAATCACACGATTTTTTATTTTTCTAATTTCCCGCTCAACATAAAGTTGATAAAGTTGAGTGAGGCGGAGGTATATGAGTTTACTACACTGTTCTAAAAATTGGCCTAGCTAGCTCTACGGTAGAAAACTGATCAATCTAGTCGGTCAAACAATTGGCCTAGTCGGCCGCCTAAGCGTTAGGCGCCCAAACTTAAGAAACTACATATTGACGTTTAAGAAACTCCCAAACTTAACTTATTGGATGAACTGTCATCCTTTGTTTCATATCACTTTAGTATCAATAATAAAATTCCATTTTTCGTTGATAGTATATAATTAGGGGTGTGTACAAGAAACGTGTAACATGTGCGTATAACAAAGATTTTGAGGTAAGGGTCAGTATGGTCCTCGAAGTTGCATAAAAAGGGTCAAATAAGTCTTTATAACGTCTTTACTGTCCGGCCGTCGCCGTTTGGGGCAGTAATCGGTGGAATTTTATGATGAATTTTTTTGAGCATCTTATTCATTAAGTCTTGTTTACTCATACCAAATTTCAGTCAAAACTTAAATTGGGAAGACATTCAAATGAAGTCTTGAAGATAACTGCACTTTTAACTGCGCAGTTATCTTCAAGACTTCATTTGAATGTCTTTCCGATTTAAATTTTATCTGAAATTTGGTATGAGTAAACTAGAATTAATGAACAAGATGCTCAAATTTTTTTATCAAAAAACTATCCTGAAAACCGCCCCAAATGACGCCTCCCGGACAGTAAGGACGTTATAAAGACTTATTTGACCCTTTTTATGCAATTTCGAGGACTAAACTAACCCTTAGCTCAAAAGATTTTTTTGATATATATATAAGTACCAAGGGATGGTTGTTAATGAATTGAATTGCAGACAAAACTTGACAGCAAGTGGGCCAAGGCCGAATCCGCAAGGCTCTTATCATTATGGAATGGTGAACATCACAAGAACAATTGTATTGCAAAACTCAGCTCCGATCATCGACGGAAAACAACGGTTTGCTGTAAACAACGTTTCGTTCATTCCGGCGGATACACCGCTTAAACTTGCCGACCACTTCAAGATCCCCGGGGTTTTCACCGTCGGCAGCATCAAGGACAACGCCACCGGAGGGCCTGTTATACTTGATACTTCTGTCGTGACCGCGGAATTCAGGTCATTCATTCAGGTCATTTTTGTGAACAAGGAAGAAACCGTACAGTCATGGCACTTGGATGGCCAATTCTTCTTTGTTGTCGGGTATGGTATCACTTTCCATTAATTTATTACTCTCGATCTCGTTAGAAAAAGTAAGGGTAATTGAGTATATTATATACGAGGTCGTATATTTGAACAGGATGGATACTGGAGAGTGGAGAAATGAAAGCAGACTAGATTACAACCTGAGAGATGGAATATCTCGCAGCACAGTTGAAGTTTATCCGAGAGGATGGACTGCCATTTACATGCCATTGGACAATGTAGGAATGTGGAATGTGAGGTCAGGGAACTGGGCGCAACAGTACTTGGGTCAACAGTTTTATCTCCGGGTGGTGCCCCCCATATCGACATCTCCGTGGAGGGATGAAAATCCGATTCCGAATAACGCCCTTCTCTGCGGTAAAGCGGCCAATGAAACCATATCTTAGCTTCTCTTTAAACTCAGGTGTCAAATATATGTTGACCCACTCTTTGGAAATGCTTGTACCTTTCATAAAATTAAAGATACTCTCAAATAACAATTACTCACAAATGTTTGGACTGTTATTTATTTCTGCAGTTAATTATATGTACTTCATCTCTCAGCATGTGTAATATGGGGTACTTCTCATATTTATAATAATGCATTATACTTGGTCCAATAAGGTGAAATCTTCCACCCCAGGAGCTCCCCAACTCGACCCGACAGGATGGTGGGGAGATTAATCACAGTGACTCAGTAAGCAAAGCGACGGTAGACTTTATACACGTGCGTAATATGGGGTACTTCTCATATTTATAATAATGCATTACACGGAGTACTAATTACTAATGATGATGCATATAATGTGCTAGCTATATATGGTATAGGCGTGTAGCTAGTTTATTTCAATTTCAAAATAAAAAACAATATTAATTCGGTTCTTCTGTAAAATATTATGCTATATTGCTTTTACCTGTCTAAGTTTCATGGAGTTAGAGAAAATAAAGTTATCAATTAGGATAATGAATAGCGTACGTTGAAGTGTTATACTCTATCCGTCTCATTTAAAGGTTCTCGTCCACTATTCTTCGGTCAACGTGCATTGTTCTTAATCTTAGCTTTTACCTTATATATCCAACTTTTATCAAATTTAAATTTTCTTGATCGGATTTTGTAGCGGCTTTAATGTAGTTTCTGAATATGTAAATTTTATTTACTAACAATAATTCTACTAATGACAGGGATCAGTTAACTTTATGGTCAGTCAAACGTCGTAAACGGCGTGAGAACGTTTAAATGAGACGGAGGGAGTATTACTTGTTGCAGTAGTATATACGGAGTATGTTTTTTCATGGAGTTTAATTTGGAGAGAAATAGAGTAAATGTATATTATATTGTTGAAAAGATTTAAAAGGTAACACTACTAGAATTTTCCTTATTTGCGGTTACCCAATTGATGCGGTTTTATTCTAAACCGCCGCAAATAAGCAAAATTTATAAAACATTTACGGCCGTAGCAAAAAGTAGTAAAAGTTCATACTTTTTGCTGCGGTTGTAAAGGAACCGCAACAAATACTTATTAAATTTTGAGTTTGATTTTTTTGCGGAACCTATTTGCCGCAATAGGTTGTATTTTTTCGTATTACAGTGGGAAACACAGCAGAAGATTGTATTTCCACTACAAAAAAATTCGCCTGTAGTCACGGACTTAGTCACGGACCGTAGTGTAAAAAATCCGCGACTAACACATTTAGTCATGGATTTTGTCCGTGACTAATTCCGCGTGACTAGAACGTAGTCACGGAACATTGGCCGTGACTAAGTGTTGTCACGGATTAGTCACGGAACTCGATCCGTGACTACATCTTGACTGGAATTAGCCCTCCGGTGCATTAGTCACGGACCAGATCCGTGACTACTTTTAATTTTTTTTTTATATTAGTCACGGACAAGAGCCGTGACTAAGTTTAATTTAATTTTTTTTTTATTTTTTGTGGTAGTCACGAATGTTTCCGTGACTAACGTTTTTAAAAAAGCCCGCAATTAGTCACGGACATGTATCCGTGACTATGTTTAATTTAAAAAAATTGAATTTCTTCCGGATTAAAACGTAGTCACGGATCTGGTCCGTGACTAATGTTTTTTGTTTTAAAAAAACGATTTTAAATAAAAAAAATAAAAAAATGAAAATTGAATTTATTCCGGATTAAAACGTAGTCACGGATTTAGTCTGTGACTAATGTTTTTGATTTAAAAAAAAATCGATTTTAAATAAATAAAAAATTTATTTTAATTTTACTTTAAAGCAATTAGAATAAAAACAAATTCCATACAATCTTAAACATAAAAATGTTATTACAGACTGAATTATAAAAACAAAATCCATACAATGTTAAACAATATTATGTAATTACATGCCCGTACGTCGGACTCCATTATGATAAAAATTAGAATCATAATAATCATATGCGTCATCATTATCATCATAGTCACGATGATGATCCTCTTATGCATCCACAGTGTCCAAGGGTCGGGTACCTCCTCGGCTGTCTCGATTGCCTCCTCGGTTGCTTCCTCGGTTGCTTCCTCGGCTGCCTCCTCGGTTGCCTCCACCGGATGACTGAAACTGATTGAGCATATCAGACGACAGAGATCCGAATGTCGACCCTATTGCAGGCATGGCACCATAACCGGAGTTAGAGTGATAACCCATATTACCCATGTGCGGAACCTGAGAAGTCTGCTCAACGTGCAACATGTACGGCCGAGGAAGAGGCTGAGGCGGAGGTTGATATCCGGCAAGGATCCGTTCCATTGCTTCCAGCCGGGCCCTTGTTTCTTCATCATTCTTCCGTTGCTGTTCAAATGCCTACTGCTGCTCCTCCAATTCTCGCTGCAATTGGGCAATGCGTGGATCCTCTCCTCGCCTAGATTGAGAAGATGATGAAGCTCTGCTGCCGCTGTGATCGTACAAAATACGTTTCCCCTCAGCCCCGAGGCACGGAAGCCGACCCTTGTACACCCCAACTGTCTCAAGGATCGCATCATCTTCCACATCAGAATCAATGTCATCTTCTTGAGTCAAGCCTAGTTCCGCCCGCTTCTTTTCAACATTTGCGTTATACTTTGTCTACAAACATTTACAAAAATTATTCAAATGATATTTACTTCGATTTGAAATAATAATATTGATGTTACATACTTCGATTTCAGCAAGGCGGGGTGGTAGATTGGCTTCCGGCTCATCACCGTTCTTCGTCCAACAGTGTTTGATGACCTTGAGGATAGAGACCCTCTTCTTTTCAGGCCCCGCCTACAAGGTTCGAAAAAGGTTTAAATAAATGTAAAAAAATAAAGGGTTAAAATGGTGTAAGGTTTATTTGAATAAGACTTACAAGAGCTTCTTTATGTTTACTCTGAGGTTTGCGGGCTCCGTGCCATTGTGTCATCAATGCCTTCTCGGACATCCGATTTTGCTTCCCGGCTTCGCTTCTAGCCAAGAAAGTCGGATCCGAAGACCAGTGGCGGACGAGGTTTTCCCATACCTCATCCGAACACCATTGAGGCCTTACCCCACTGGCTCGGGCACGCTTAAAAGTGGGACGAAGCCAGTTTGAAACTCTGGCATTGTACGCCCTTAGAATAGCGGGGCCTTGTTCTTCAGTCCAGCGAAACCGGGCCTTTATTAAAGAAAAATTAACTTATCATTTGTCAAATTTTAGGTTACATCAATAACGAAAAATTCATTTTTTTACCTTGAACAAGTTCCACCAAAGTTCACGGACCTTGGGGTCAACATCCGTGTACGTAGCCCAGTTGCCAAGAAAGTGTCCACCAATTATGATTTTGATTTGGTTGAGCACATCTTGATCGCTTCAAAAAATTAATGATATTTTTTTATATCCATTTGGTTAGATTATTTGACATTAGATAAAATTATTTGACATTAGATAAAATTCATAGTTACTTACTTAGCAACCATGTGAGGTGTCACCCACTCTGAATCTTCATTGTTGCGCTCGGCTTGGGTTAAGGGCGCATAGTTCGGGCGAGCACGGGAGGTTGATTGTTCATTGCTCATCTAAAATAATTGATTAATGAGGAGTATTAATTTACATTTTCAAATAATAGTGTAAATATAATAGAAGATCAAATTTTGGTTGAAATCTTAAATAGGTTTTCGTATTTAAATTTATAAAAAACATTTTATATAAAAGCAGTTTTTTATAAACAATTTTTTATAAACAGTTTTCTATAAACAGTTTTTTATAAACAGTTTTTTTATAAACAGTTTTTTATAAACAGTTTTTTATAAACATGAATAGTTCTTCCCAAACCTTCCAAATGGAGCAAATCCGTCTGAACACAATCCCAGTCGCACATTTCGTGGCTCCATTGCAAAGTGAGGATGACAACGGTCAAAGTGTCTCCAAGCTTCACAGTCCGAAGGGTGAGACATCATACCCTATTTTGTTTCGTGCTCAACATGCCATGTCATGTGTTTCGCAGTAGCAGTCGAAGCGTACATCCTCTGAAGTCGTGGAGCTATTGGGAGGTAATACAGTTTAGACAATGTCGACCTATTTCGTGGTTTCTTTCTACTTTGAGGAACATGTTTGTATCGGTTTCCACCACAGAACTTGCAGAATTCAAGTGCCTCATCATCCTTCCAGAACAACATACATCCTTCCGGGCACGCATCAATTTCTATATAAGGTAGCCCCAACTTAGACATTAATTGTTTCATGTGATAATATGAATCCGGAAGGTTATGATCACATGGTAGCATCCCGCCTACTGACTGCAAGACTCTAGTCATGCAAGTTTCAGGGAGTCTGTATTCAGCTTTTATGTTCATAAACTCTGTAACGGCGGATAGCTGAGAGTACCCCTCAAAATCAGCATACAGGGGTTGATCAGCTGCTTTTAAAACATCTTGAAATCTTTCAGCTAAACCTTCATCCACATAAGGTTCATAAAATATAGGATTTTCATCCTCATGTGGTTGATACGTGACTAGTCACGGAACGATCCGTGACTAATTTCAAATTCAAAAAAAATCCCGCCGGAGGCGAAATTGGGTTGGCCGGAACACTTTAGTCACGGACTACATCCGTGACTAACTATAGTCACGGACGTAGTCACGGCCAAATTCGTGACTATTTTTTTTAAACGTTCCGTGACTAAACCGTGATTAGAACCGTGACTAACTAGTCACGGACCAAATCCGTGACTACAAGCGATTTTTTTTGTAGTGTGCCGATGAACGAAATAATATTTATTAAACGGAAATAATAATATGGTTTATATTTTCCTTTCAATTCATTTCAAAGTATCTTTACTTTTTCTCTTGGAGAATTAATCACTTCATGGTTGATTTAGTTCAACTTTTATGAACAAATATCAAACATATAGTTTCCACTTTATAAAAGAGTTTTTTACACTAGAATAAACCTTATTTACAGAAATATGGCTAATAGTTACTATTATGTAGGGTCATGGTAATTTATTTTTAAAAATTAAACATAAGCTACTGTGAATTTATTACCATTCTAGTCACTAGTCACATTTTTGTAAACAATCTTTATTTTAGTAATAAATATGTAATTATTTCTTATAAAAATTATTTGAATTAA